GGTTCGCATGCCACCCCCTCCGCAACCCCCGTTGCGTATTACGTCTTTGCCGACGACAATTTTTCAATATTTGACGACGGATTTGCGCGCGCCCACTAATTTGCAGCTGATAAATATTTGGTCTACGCAAGGACTGGCCGAACGAGAGGGAGGCCTAATCTCTCTCTTTCACGGCGTCCGTCACTCAGCTGCGGATGACAAAACTGCAAACCCGGCACGACACCCTCTTCGCGCCGTGACGTCATAAATGATTAATGATGCACTAAAGGATTTTGTGTGTTCGGCGCTGAAACACGTCCCGTGTTATTTCGTTTGCAGCCATTTTTCCATGTGGTGAGCAGAACACTCGTCGTTTTTTTCCCTCGCCAGGCCGCACATGCGGACGCGCCAATTGAATTTAAAAATTAAAACGGTGCGCGGTGACACTGGTCGCGAAATTTCCGGCCGCGCGCGGAATTAATTAGTTTTTCATGCGTGGTTTGCCAGAAAGGGGAACGGGAGAGAGAGAGAGAGAGAGAGAGAGACACGCTTTCCGGTTCATTTGAGCAAGTTGATTAATCACATTTTTGCCGGTTCGCCAAAAACTGCTGTTATAAAATTGATTGACGTCACTTTTGCGGCCGAATGAATTAAAATTGACCGCAAAGGAAGTTAAAAGGGAAGCAAAAAAATCAGTATATTTGTGTTTCATGGAGTTGAATGAATTGTTAAATTATTAATTGGTATGGGTCTATTGTCGAAAATAATTTAACTATTTTGTTTGAAGAAATTGACACTCGAGAAAATGAAGAGATCGGGCTTTTCCTCGTTGCAAAAATTGTCTATTATTAACAAACGATTGAATTTTTTAATAAAAGCAATTTTTGCAACGAGGAAAACCCCGATCTAAACTGCTTATTTTTTTACAAAATATAATTCTAAATTTAAAAAGTTTCAAGGAATTTGTTGAATGCAAAACAAAAAAAGTAATTTTCATTGGAGGGAAAAAATACTTGGCCAAAAAAAATATACCTTTTTTCAGTAAAAATTTCCAAACAAAAAAATTAAGTGCGCAAATTTATTTCTCTGTGCCCTTAATTTCTGCTCATCTTTTTTTTGGAACCTCCGTGCGTATAAAATTTGATTGCTCCTGTGCCACATTCAAAATTGCTCCCACCGTGACCTCCATTTTTTTCAATACAAGTCGCGACCGCAAACGCATCAAACAATATATATAAAATTCAAACAAATATACCGATCGATTGGGGTCTCGTCCAAAAAAGGGCCGGACGCCAATTTTGTCTCTGAGATGCGTAATGAACGCGGCAGGTGTTGATTTTGGTGTCAATTAAGAATGCGCAGTTAGGCGCGCATTGTTTGTTGATATTACGGCGTCGCCTCTGCTCCTTCTTCTTTTCGCCATTCGCGCGGCTTTTTATCAGCGCGGCGTGCCAAGTCGCATTATTATGAAACGGAAAATTTGCCAAGTCACCATATTGGAATTGTTCTCGCGACGTGCAGTCGGCTGCGGCATTTTTTCCTCTTTGTCTCACTCGGAAAACATTACACGCTACACATCGCACTCTTTTATTATTATTATCTGCACCATTGTGTGGCCATTTGCGAATATAACTGCGTCTCTCTCTCTTTCTCGCCACGCAGATTTTTCTATTCAAAGGAGTAAAAATGAAAAATTAATGCCCTGCCCTCCCTCGTGGATGGTGTATTGGAAAAACTTTTCACGCGTGCCTGCGCCCCCGACAAGGGAAGTTTTCTCTCCGGTCAGGTATTGGGAAAATTTATTCCCGCACCGGTGCTGGCGAGCGCGTCCATTGGAAAAAATTATTGGGCGTAAAAATTGAGTTGATTTATCTGCGAAATTGGCCTGTAACGTGGGCGAAAAACGAGAGGTGCAGGAGAGAAAGGGCGTGATGTGCACTCATTATTTAGAAATTATGTATATGTTTTGTGCGAGGCGAGATTTGCAAAGGAAAGAAAGGGTTGCATAGCTCATACAGTATCATGAGTAAACATGTTTAAAATTTACCCATTTTTTAAATGCAAACTAAATAAAAATATATAACATATTTAATTGTTAAATTTTCCTTTTATTGTTTTTACAACAATAATTAATAAACTTTTATTTATTAAATTTTCATTTAAATATTAAATTTAATTTTTAAGTTTGTAAAAAAACTCATTTGTTTATTTTTATTTTTGTTTCTTACAGATTTTTAACAAGTTACTTTGTTTTCTTTTAAATTATATTCATTTACAGGAACGTCAAGTATTCATATTATAGGTTTTGAGTTAAATAACAAATAATAGATGGTTCCATACTTTCAATAGCCTTGATTATTGATTATTTTGTAATATAAATTTGTGTTAACTGAAATTTTACACTCTCGAAGAGTTTTGATTGTAAAGATAAATGGTAAACTAATTAAAATATATAGAACTGACATTGAGGAAAGGATTAATTTAAACCTTGGCAAGCTGCAACGGAGCACTGAATAAAAATCATATTGTTTTTATAAAATAAAGTGCTGATCTTCATTAAAGGAAAACATTTGGGTCCTCTTTTCCATCACGGGCTGTTTGTTTGACTTTGCGTTGACGTTCGATCGGCTCCTTGGTACATCGTCGAACTGCAGCTCGCAGTAATTAAGACCTGTCGGCGCGAATTTGTGCGACACCCACCTCCAGAGCAGGATGCACAATTAATCACGCGCCGGGCCAAAAACAATACCCTGGCTGTGTCGATGGCACGCAAAAGAGCGCTGCCTCGCGCATTCATTAATGTTGATTGACGCGCCGCGGCAGCTCTTTTTATTTTTGTTTTCGGCCGCTTGATGGATTATGACTGGAGAGGTTAAAAAGTTAACCTTGCAAAAAATTACTCTTGCTATCACCGGCGCTGCTGCGCTCTCGCATTTATGAATAATTGAAAATAATTTCGCCCGCGAGAGAGCTGCATAAACTCGACTAATCAAAGGAAATTGCTAATGCTCGGTCCAGTCAGCAGCAAAGAGGGAATGCCTAATGAAGGATTATATATACGGCTGCTGTGCTGCTCGTCCGTAATTATATATACAAGAAACGTCGCGGCCACAACATCATCCCGACCGCAGAAAGTCGGAAACTTGTTCCATGTTTTTGTAATTATTGTTCCGAGAGAGAGATAATTTGATCGTACTTATTTACGCAAATCTGGATTTAACCGAGTTCACGTGCATTAATCACGAAAAATTTAACCCTCTCGCGTCGTGTCTCGCACGAAACTTTAAAAGAGCGAGAGAAAGAGAAAAGTTTTGCAATCAACGAGCCACTTCTTGCCATAACTCTTTGTGCTCGAACCCGCTCCTTGATTTATTGGGCTTTATACCCACGTGTATTATTAGCCCTCGACTTTCTGCATGAAAGAAATCTAATTAAAAGCGGCTTGCAAAGAGTGCAAACTCGGAGAAATTTCTTTCAGATATTTTCTTCAAAAGTTGCTGGCTCTTGGTGGTCTGATTTTTTTTTTGTGAATTTGAATTATATGCAATTAAAAAACTTATTAAAAACTTAAAAAAAACTGCTACAATTTTCATTTTAAATTTATTTCAAAAAGCCTTTTAGTATCATAAATGCATATAATTAATTGAAATAAATCTGCTATGTTTTTGAAGAAGTTGACACTCGAGGAGATGATCATGGAAATGAAAAGCGATCGGGCTTTTCATTTCCAAAATCTGCTATGGTTTAGATTTTAATTTTACTATATTTATTTAACTATTTTAATAATATTTTATTTTAATTTTTATTTAAATTTTTTAATAGCTTAATTATTTACTAAAATAATTAATAAAGTAAAATAAAATTAGTAATTGTATTTGATTTAATGATTTAATCATTGTGGCCGATGAGATGTTTTTATCACAGAAGTTTTTGCAAAATTCCTGCTTGTTGTGGTGCCGTTTTGTCCAACATTTGATTTTTCTCGAATAAATTGTTTCAACAATTGAATGTAAACATTGTGGACAAATAAACAAAATACAAATACTAATTAAATATACAACTTAAATTTATATGAAAGTTACAATAATTATAAATTGCTTCATTTATATATATAAAAAAAAATGTTTACAAAACGTTCACAAAAATAAAATCAGCAGTTTCTATACACATTTTATTTCACAGTTAGTTTCAAGTCCAAGAGCGGCCAAAGCCCGACTCATTGTGAGTGTGAACGACCTCGGCTGGAAATTTGCATGGCATATTCCTCGCCAATCAATTTTCCATCAATCCGGCGCGGCGCACATGGGCGTGCGAATTCCTCCTTTCGGATTGACTGCGCGAATAAAAATATCTGCGACTGCGAGCGATCGGATTGCTGGTGCTCGCCTCAGCATTCCATCAGCAGTCAGTCGCGGGCGTGCATGATTATTCATCGAGAATTAATGACACATCTCACTGCGCCATTTATTTTTCCTCGCGTATAATTATTCGCGCGCAATGGCCGCGCGACGACAGCCTGTAATTTCGCACGCAAAAAGAATCAAGCCTTGACGAGAGAGAGGAAAGTTGCAGCACAATCGCGATCACAATAACACGTCCGCCGCGTCCATCAACATCTCCATTGTTGCACATTAGCCGGTGCTGCAGCTTTTAGAAAATAGACGGAAAAAAACCTCTCAACCCTCATTAATTGGAATGAGTGTTCACATTTTTATCCTGTGTCATTACTCACTTATTCTAATCCCGACGCTTTTGATTAACCAGATATTTTGACAGCCGCACAAAAGTGATTTACATTTTTCAAACGAAAAACGGAAGTCGACCTTTGCTGTCCCTCGAACCGAAAATTAGCGCAGGAGAGGGGACGTGTAATTATCGTTCTGCCTTTTTGATATTAACATTGCCAAGCGAAATATTTTCACATCATCACAATCCATCATGGCAGCGCGTGTATAATTATTTTTAAGGAAAAAAATGTCCCTGGCCAGCGTATTAATGGCACGTATTAATTTCTGTTTCAGAATTCAACCCACGTCGCACTTCTTCTCGCCGCCTCGATGTTTTCCAACCAGTTCGACCGACTGAAATGACGCGAATGGAGCAAAAAATCCAAGCATGTAAACGGCAGCAGCAGCGTTTTGATGGCGAAGAAGATTATTTTTCCTCTTTCTTGCTTCTTTCAATGATCATACAAGACTGATAATTTTGCTTTTTGATCGTTTTTATTATATTAAAACGAGACGACTTGAAATTTTTGAAAATAATCAAACCCGAAAGGAACATTCCCGATATGAAAAAAAATAACGAATTTTAAGAAATTTGCATTAATTCTTCTTTCAATTATAATAATAATATCTTTGCACAAAAGTTGATAAATATATTTTACTCTTGCCGAAGACGCAAGATATTTACTTTTTCCATCTTTTCTCTTTTTTTATTTTGGTACTTGAATAATGACAAATAGCAAGATTAAAAGTATTAATGCTGAGAATCTGGAGTCTTCCTATGAAGTAAGGTTAAATTTTGGACATAGCGAAAAAGACCTGTAATTGTTAATTACCTATTTAAAATAAAATTCATAATTAGGAATGCGATTGGTTACTGAAAAGACGCGGTTGCTATTGTTTGACACGCATCGGTTATTTATTAAAAAAAAAATTATTCAAATACGAATTAAGCATGAAGAAGAAAGAGTCTTAATTAAACGATGCTTATAGCTTTTCAAACTAGTCAATGTGATTTTGATGATAACGAGGGATTTTTGTATTTGTCATGATTAATAATATTGTGAAGAAAATGGAAATCGCATAAAATAAAAACGATTTTGGAAGAAAGACGTGTCTCATCGACAGTATCAATGAGAGTATAACTGCCTTGTACTTGTATATAAGCGCGCGTCTTGGATGAATTTTTTTAAAAAAAGTGCAAGTTCAATCGTTTTGAGTGTAATTCCAAAAGAATTCATGAAAAGGTGCTTTATCCTATGTGGAATTAAAAAAATTAATTGTTTGTAAACGATGATGACGATACTCTGTAAATAATATCCGACGAGCAGCTTAAAAAATAATGAGACGCGAATGAAATTACTCATCTCGCCCGCATTGTTTAAACTTGATTAATTTTGATCGCTTTCATTTGTAAATTTTGTGTAAATAAAATTTTATAAATGATCAATAATTATTCTGTGCATTTCACTTACAAAATTTAACCTATAAGATTCTTCGTTTAGACTAGAAATTTCAATTTGATTGCAGTGTTTTTTTTCTTTCTTCTAATATTTGAATTATTAAACGGTTGGAGGCAATTTTGGAGATAAAAATGTTATGAAGACACGAAGGAGGCATTTAATAAAATTATATAGACAGCAGTCGTCAGTTAATAATGTATCAAGCGTAGATCAAAAATACACACATCCTGAAGTTGAATTTTCCCCCGACAATAAATTAAGTCTCTAATTGAAAACATTTACTGCGCGAATGACACAAAACGGAAATGAGATTTGAAGCGAGCTGAAATCATTTACATATATTTAAGATGGTGTGATATCATGATTAACTAAAATGCGTCTCCCCATCTTGCTTATTTGTATTCTCAATTCAAAAAGTTTATTCGAGCCGAGCTTGTAATTTATGGTGATTCTCGGCGCATCATCTTGATTTACGCGCCGCAATGGCACAAAACAATAGTCCATTATTATAAATAAAAACCAAATAAATAAGAGTGCGGCATGTGTGTGTCTGTATGTAATTTCATACCGCCGCCGAGCCCCGCTTCTTTTATTATGTGTGCCTCTGTTTGTAACTCGTACACAAAAGCACCAGCATAAAATAAGCATATATAAAAAAAAGAAGACAAACTTTTCGATTTGGAGAAGAGGGTCCGTGAGCGGCCAAATGCTGTCAATATTAATTACGGCCCGTGGCGAATAATGCTTTTTTTAATTCGCTTCGTTATTTGGATGCGAAGGAAAACGCCTCGCTTGCCTGGGTCCACTTCCTGCCATTTGTCGGCGGCGGTCAATTTTCTAATCCAGCAGCAGCACCGACTTTTTGATTCGCATCTGCATCGTCTGTCAGCATGAGAGACACCACAAGAAGCAGCATAACAACTTTAATAAAAGTTTATTTTATTGAAACAAAAGTATTTAAAAAAATATTCAATCTTAGTCTCAAAAATTAATTTAATTATCTTTTGATATTTCTATTAAGTTAAAAATAAAATATGACCATAAAATATGTGGTGAAAAAAGTTTTCCTTTCAATATACTTACATAAAAAATCAGAGAAAAATATTAAATTAGTTTAAATTTGAATTAAAATAATATTTCCACTTTTTCCATCACTAAATTCTATAATTCTTCTGAATAAAGAATATTTCAAAGAAATATAGTTTAAGCAACAAAACCCAAAGGAAATTGAACCCTCTCGTGTAACACATGATTAATTTCCTCTCACCTGCATTGCAGTACCAACCGTTTAATTACTCTTCTCGCGATCGGGATCTTGCTGACGATGCACCTCACTCGGGCATGTCTCAAGTAGAAGGAAAGCAGCTTATTTGCTTAAGCTGATCAAAGTGTGTGTGTATTTATAGAGGGACACACGCTCATCAGTTTCTTCTTACTTTCTTAATTACATCTTTCTCTTTGCTGGCGGCAGGTTTAATTAGTTTCGGGGGCTCGTCTTGATTAGCAGCCGAATTTCGCGGAAAAGCAAACAATCTTTGTGAAATTTCCGCGCCCTCTCGACTTTGGAGCTTCTCTTCGGGTTTTTAACTCGGAGGATGCAGGTTTGCTTCCTCCCCTTTGGCATTTTTGTGGCTTCGGTTTGTTCAGCACGCACCATCAAAACACACCATCAACGGCACCAATCTGCAGCCTGCGGAGAGTGAGAGAAAGAAGAGAGGCAGAAAAAAAGCGGCGGCTATGCGATTAGGGAGCAGCGCCTAATCACGTAATCACATCATCGAGAGTCGAGTGATAGCCACAGAGAGCTCTCGAATTGATCCAACTCTTTCAAATTAAAGTTAGAGAAGAAGATAGCCTAGAAGATTGTATTAATTGAATTGTTTTAAGGCATTCTAAATTTTTTAAAGTGATTTATTGGAATTCCTGGAAATGAAAAGTTGGGCTTTTCCATTATCATGAATCATCTCCTCGAGTGTCAACTTCTTTAAACATATAATTATTCCTTCCTGTCTTTTTTCAAGTATTATTAAATGATATAATGAGTGAAATAATTTTTTTAGTAGTTTTCACAATTAATAGAACTTTTATCATATAATTAGGCTCGTGTTTTTTAGTCGATCAACTTTTTTTCTACATCGCTCAGAACGTTAAGGAAATGCATTTTCTGCATGAATCAAGTGATTTTATTACGATTGGCCTACTTAAAACCGACTAACGTAAAACCTACTATTTCATTCAATTTCCGACCAAAGCGACTAAAACAGACTAAAATGACGGGCTTTTTCAACTTTGTAAACAAAATTTCTGCAAAATTTTGCCAAACAATATTTACAAAAGTTAAAAAGTTATTGATTTAAAAAACTTTATTATCAAACAGATTTTATTTCAAGCGACTGAAAGTGCATTAAATACAGCTATTTTTCATCTTCAATTACAAAAAAGAAATAAAATATGTGATGAATAAAAAAATTCATAATTTTTCAATAGTCGAAAAAATGTTTTAGAGCATTTTTAGAAAATCATAATTAAAATTTTACGACAAAATATAAATTTTGTTCCCAAATATCAAATAAAACACGCATTTGATTAAATTACCATGTTCAACTATCTTCAAAATTCAAAATATATAATATATTTATACACAATATTACGAAAATTCAATGGTGTCAGCAATTTTAGGCTTTTTGTATAGCATAGCGTATCATAAAATTACGAAGTTCTGCATAATTGCTAGCTAGGTAAATTTAAAAGTGATGTAAAATGGGTCATAAAATATTATTTATGCTTCCAAAAATGGAGATTTATTTATGCAATCCAAAAAAATAGATTAAAATAATATTTTCATGTATTTTAAGGGTCAAAATATCCAATTTAAATAAACGACTATAACCGACTATTTTGTCAAAAACCAGCTAAAAAGGCGACTAAATTTCTGTAAAATCAACTAAAAATAGTCGACTTTTTGACTCCTAAAAACCGACTAAAATGCACGAGCCTATACGATATAATTATTACAAATTTTAGAAAACAAATAAATCAAGATTCTGCACTTTGTATTTAATTATCATCGCAGAGGATACAAATTTTAGGAACATTTATTTAACTTTGCCGTGAGCAAACGGTGTTGTTATACCAAGTAAGTGATGTCATACCGTGTCTAACAAAACGGCGCATAGCAAAGTCGTAATACCTGGAGCTGTTTTGTTGTCAAATTGTGCGCTGCATACCAAGTCTGTCTCGGTGCACGTATAAACTTTATTATATTCGAGGAAGACGCCATTGCCAGGGCATCGTTGGCTTTGCAATTTCACTAAACACGACACCTTATTCTCTAGTAGTGCTTTTAAGGACGGCACTAAATTTCGCGCGAGGAGTTGCAGGAATTCTTGGCGCAGAGCTTATTATGTACCGATGATATATTTTGCGCTGACACCTCTGCTCATGCACGCCACGCGCGCAAGAATTATTATTCAAATGAAATACAGCGCCTAAACTTCTTGGGCAGCAGTTTATGCTCTTAAAAGTTTCGTTAGTCGATTCAACATAGAAACACACAGCTATGAATTTTGGTCGGAACTTAAGTGAGAGAGGATCAGAGGGCCACTTGCGTTTAAAGTTCGCTTCTCGAAGATGAAATAAATAAATATATACTTATAAAATCCGTCTTGGGAGAATAATGCGCTGGCATACATTATGTGCTTTGGTGGAGGAAAGATGCACGTCATGAGAGGTCCGAGACACAAAACAGAGAAGCTGCGCTGTGGTGGTCCTTTATCACAGACGCTAAGTGGCTGTGGAATGTTAAATTAGTTGGAAAAAATTTATCCATTCCTAAAAAATGCAACGAAAAAAGCTTGGATTGTTCAGCATTTTTCGTATTATTTGCTTCATTACATGTTAATATTGATAAAAAATAAAGTTTTAAAACCTAAACTTTTAATTACATTATATTTGTTTGATTAAAACTAAATATTTAGAGTAATATTAAATCCTGCTTTAGTTTTATAACTTCACCAAGTAGCATTTATTGAGGATGTTTGATAATTAGTTCAGAAAATTGTATATAGTGTAATTTTAATAATATATTTAATAAATTCATTTCAAATATCTCAATATTTCAATAAATGAAACATATATAGTTTAAAATGTTTCTTATTTAAGCAATTTTCATACCTTTGGTTTTAAATGTCCAAAAATACTGATTTATAATAATAATAATAATATAATTAGTGGAAATTTTACAACGATTTTTTTTATTTGTATTTCAATTAGAAAAATGACAAAGCTTTTCATAGAGAGATTTATTTTACACTATATGCTGCATGGAATATTGAGAGCCACAACTATTAGCAGAGCGCATGCAGGAAAAAGCAGGAACTGAAAATAAAAGGTTTGACAGAGCGAAAGCGCAGGATTAATGTCCTGCTCTTTCGTTTGTGCACCAACGTGTAACGCCGCGAAAAAAGTACGCATTTTGCTCTTGCTCTACATGA